GGCTTATCTTCAGACAATAAAAGAACTATAACACAAAAATTGGAATGGTCTGATGACATGGGATTGCGGAGAGTTGGGAAGAAACCACCTGCCCTCAAACTCTCTCCCAGAGGACTCAAAGATCCCAGCATACTCGACTCCTTAGTTCTTCACTGACATCCAGTAGAAGACTGCTCGACCGAACCAAACTATGGCATCGTTTGACGCGATCCCAAACTCACATCTACTCCACTGGACATAGTGCGCGATATTATACACAGAGAGTTTGAAGAGAAGTACGATAGCATACGGGGGCCCTCTTAAAAGTGAGGACCCAATGAAACTCTGTGCATTCTGCCAGTGAAGCTTTCCCGCATTCGACTGAAACGCGGAGGAGCAAATTGAAAGATTGCCAAGGCTGATTCTAAGAGTTCGGTCCCATGCGGCAATTCGGCAACCTCTGGGTATCATCCCTGTATCCTTTTCCATAAGTAATCGGTAATTTTACGCAAATCCTCCGGTACTTAATCAGTAATGGATCCCCCTGTTATCCATGCTCTCACTGTATCACTGAACGAAAAGCCAGTGTCTTGAAAATTTGTCCTTACCTGCTCTATCATCAGGCGCCTACTTAACCGAGCTACCCTTAAAGGCGCTGCCAATGCCCCTTCGAATCTAGTTCCTCCGTACACCATTTAAAGAGCGTCGCACCACGTTTCCAGCTGTTGACGGACCCAGTGCTGCGTGGTTCCGATCTTAATGGTCAAGCAGGAGCCGAACCTTATTTAGAAGCCAAGGTGCCGTATTTATGGAAAATTAGAAAGTGAAACTGCGACGCGCCGCACTACTACCTTTATATGGCTTACCTAAACTTCAAAGTTCCATTCATAAGCGCGGTTGAAATAAACAAAGACCAAGTGCGTGACCCTTGCATTCACGTGTTACGTCAATTGTTAAATAACTCCCTACACCATCTGGTCACTTACTGAGACGTCGATCAGCATATTATGCCCTTCGCAAAGTTAAGACTACAGTTGCCCAGCCAGGTAACTTCAGGTCCTGAAACAAAAGGTTTTACTGGCAGATTTTTGCAGGTGATCGGAAGGACGCGCATTCGAAAGCCAGCATCGCGGCGTGGCTGACACTTTAGAATTATGCCACACTATACTCAATAGTACAACTCTTCCTAAGTACTGCCTTGTAATGAAACAATTTGTTGAACATCTATTATCATGTTATGAACAACGCCACCTGCACATCGCGCATAACACACCGTGAAGTGAAGTGGAATTATCCGAGTGTCTCGCTGAGCGACTCTTCGAGCAATGTCGCCTACTTACCGCCATCAGTTAGCCCTTAGCCTAGGCCCCGTCCGCCAACATAAAAAGCATAATTTATTTTGATCCAACTGTGGAAAACCCAGCTACCTTGGTAGGATCCGAACCAACGACTGCAAGTGGAAGGCTTTAGTACAGCCAACGCTCTAGGCACCTGAGCTACGAGACCCCACCAGGAGTTATGGGTTTAGTCAAATCTGGTTCAAGTTATCCGTCCAATTTACTGCCGAGGTCGCTGGGTTTCTCACAATTGGGTAAAAATAAATTAATAAGTCTGCCAAAATACTTATTAATAAACAGCATAAGCAGGTTTATTGGCGAGTGCCAGCCAAGACGACCTTTAGAAACTTCCAGATTCACTTGCATGCAATGTCCGCTGAAGACGTTTCCTGAGCAAACGGTAAGTGCGATCTTTGACTATTTGCGCACAGTCTTCGAATCTACCTCCTTTCTTTGGAGCGAAACTGACACGCGTTGATCTTCTCTCTGGCCCCTATTTCAGAAAACCGCGCATCTCCTTGTTCGAGATTTCATCCTGACCCGGCTAACTGAGCTCGACTTCTGTGCAGATTTTGACTTCCCAATGCAAGATGATCCCTTCCCACTGCTAAAACAAGTCCTTCTTTCCCAGAATCGCGGTCCGCCTGAAGCTAGGTATGTACCAGTATTGTGTTACTCTGCCACTCACGTTCTCTTACAATTTAACTGCCCGGTATGTAGAATTCACCTCTGGGGCTAATTTTGCATGTTCGGTTCGTCCTCTAGGTCCGCCCTTGGCACACATCAGGAAGTTTTGCTGAGGAACGCATTCTACCGTACCATAGCCTTAATCTAGTGTCTGAGTTTAGACTCCTGAGATGGGAAAATAGACCACTCCCGTCAGCGTACGAGGACTGCCAACGGCCTCAACGGGCATTTAGGTGGTTAAGGAACTGATCATTCTAATAAGCATGTTGTTAACTGTATGTTATTGGGGAACGTCATGGCCCTCACGGCCTGGTGCGCAGTGGCCGTTCTCTAGCACCTGACTCCCTGCTGGTAGATGTCATTGTGCTCCCGCCGAGTATACAGGACGTGTTCATGGTTACCCAGTTCTCCTCGCCCTTCTGACCTATTGTGGTATCGTTGTTGTCAGTTAAAATCCTGATCAAGCGTTTGTTGTGAACCAGAGGGTGTGGGTGGTACGTCTAGGTGCTGGTCCGACTGTGTCCTCTCACGCCTCCGGTCATCTTGACTATGTCTCGACACCGAGTCCAGGTGGGGAAGGGAGTGCGTCAGGTGCCGCGCAAGTCTGCATCCACTATGAACTCAATCACGCGCAAGCCACCGTGCCTGCTCTCATCTTGCTGTGAAGCACACGGTAGACATAGTCGGCAACGACAGTCGAGCCACTAATTGGCCGAACTCAGCCCAACAGTTCTATCCAGTTTCCAAGTCCAGGATGCAATCTCGCCCTACATAAACCAAGTTATGACTGTTTTCGAGGTTCTGTGGGGGGCTGGGACTTTGCGTCGTACAGCAGAATTTTCGGTTCGTGATCCTTAAAGCGCACTATCATTTCAGTACTGTCTTGGAGCCCTTTCTTGTCAGAAGTCGGTGTTATGTTAGTCCTTAAATATCTTGTTATTTTGTTCCTATGACCATTTACAAAGCATGTCTGTCTCGGTGGTCTGTTGCAGGCTAAACAATTCTGATCCAGGAACCCCGCTTAATGTAGTGAGAATTTCATTTCAAGAAAGTGTCTCCGCTGGGCTCCACGAACCTGCCCACCAACTACTCACACAACCCTGGTTCACTCCTGCGCCTGACAGATCCCAGTTTGGAATCAGTAAAGGGCGCGGAACCGCTTCTGATCGTCTAGTGCATATAGAGGCACTTGCTACTAATGTGGCCTCTCTAGACATGCTGTGACCGACTTGTTTTGCCGGGACAATCGTACCTTACTACTGATCTGAGAGTCGACTGTTTTTTTACACGAAACCTCCCTCAGCAAAACCCACAGTAATGTACGCAAGCCAAATGCGCAGCAGTCA